GAATAACTCCTTCATGTTGCTCTAACAAGCAAGCATGGGTCTCCCCTAGGGTCTTTGCACTCGCTGCTTTCCTCCACATCCCTTACCTGCTGCCTCCTTTCATCCACCAAGGATGAGCCCCTGCACCCTGCTTCCTGCTCTCCCGTTCTCCCTGTTCTCCTGTAGCATGGACCAGGATTTCCTTAGTCTGCTGGTCATGGACCAGCATCTCTCCTCCCTCTTACCATAAGCTCCCGCGAGGGCAGGGACACACATGTTTTGTGCCCTGCTCACTCCCCAGTCTGTAGCGCCACCCTGATGGAGATCTGGAAGTCTGTGCTGGGATGAGAGGTTCATGTTTTGTGCCCTGCTCACTCCCCAGTCTGTAGCGCCACCCTGATGGAGATCTGTGCTGGAATGAGAGGTTCCAGCCAAATGTCTGCTGACACCAGTCACTCCACACAGCCACCAAGTGTCAGCACCCAGCTCAAGAAGAAACCCAGGGTCCACCGTGTGCGGTCTCCTAGTTTATGACTCACTTGTCTTTTTCCTTATGCAGGTGTGGTTTTCCCATGATGCCTAGCACAGTGGCTTTTCAAAAGTAGTTGGCTTAGAGAATACTAATGATTTTGACTATGTATGGAAGAGGGGAGGTCATTTCTGGCATTTCTTTTTGAGTGTCTAGATGTTAAATGTATCCCCCACCCCCACCCCAGGCTCATCATGTCTGCCTTGCTGGTAGAGAGAAGGAGAGAGCTGACATGGTGGGCAGTCAGGCTTGTGATCTGCCGTCACCTGGGCTCGGAAAAGGGCTCTAGGTGGGAAAGGACTGCAGTGCTTTGTAAAATAGAGCGTTGCATGCAAAGGCAGAAGCTCCAATGGAGTGAACTCTGGTCAAGCTTTTAAGCCAGGCCATACTGGCCTGTGATTTGCCGGTGACTCCAGTGTCTGAAGGTCAGGAGGGTACAGCCGTAGACTCTCATGCACTCAGGGGTCAGTGGTCTGGCTCAAGAACTGAGACATCTGGGCCTCTTTCCCCACCCCTGGGCTCCATCTAGTGTCACTGGACATTGGAACCCAAGTCTGCACCCACCCATGCTGAGGAGCAGAGGGGCACAGACATGGTCTTGGGGCAAGCAAGTTTGGGTTGGGTTTCTGCATAGTGCTAACTGCTTTGGAACTATGGGCAAAACCCTTCACCTCCCTGAGCCGCAGTCTTCATCTGCACGATGGAAAGGTAACAGGGCTGTGCACTGGGCAAGGATGGCACAGGCCTGGCCCATGGAAGAACTCCAAAAATCACACTTTGCTGTGAATCCACAGAGGCCACACATATGGGCTGGTGCCCTCCGAAACAGAACCTTCTAGAGTAAGTGCTCTGGGCTGGGATTTGTCCAGCCCAAAGCTCATAAGTTTTGAAATATTTTACTGAGTTCAATCTGAGCACTGTGGCACACACCTATAATCCCAGCGCTTGTAAGGTTAAATCAGAAAGATCACAAGTTCTAGACCAGCCTGGGCTACAATGCAGGACCCCACAAAGTTCACCCAAGGCTTATCAGGGTCTAAATAATGGCTTCCAGCCACTAATACCTATAGTCTAAATCAGAATGATCAATGTGTGAAGAAGCATGGCCAGCTTCTTCCTCCCTTTCCAGATCTTCTGACATGGAATTTTGCTTTGGGGAAGGGTAATAATTTTTACTATTTCTATGTCAGTGACTATAATTAGTACCATCACTATAAAAATATTAAACTATGTATCTTTGGACACTGTGTTAGTTAACTTCCCATTACTGTAAAAAATAACTTAGCTAATCAAGTTATAAATAAAGAAAAGACCTGGGGCCGTAAGATGACTCAGTGGGTAGAAGGCTCTTATTGCTAAGTCTGGCGACCCAAGTTTGATTCTCAGGACCCACACGATGGGTCTAATTCTCTTGGGTTGTCATCTGAATTTCTACCCTCTGCCCCCATAAAGAGGTTTTTGTTTGGTTGTTTGGTTGGTTGGTTGGTTGGTTGGTTGGTTTTTTTTTTTTTTGAGATTTTTCTCTGTGTAGCCTCGGCTGTCCTAGAACTCTCTTTCTGTAGACCAGGCTAGTCTCAAATTCAGAGATCTGCCTGCCTCTGCCCCCAAAAGGCACGCACCACCACTGCCCAGCAAATGTATTTTTTTTAAGAAAAGAAAAACAGGCTTATTTTGGCTTACGGTTTTATGGCTTTGAGTCTATGATTGGTTGCCCTGTTCCGTTGTAGCCTGGGATGAGGTTGCACATGCAGAGAACATGGTAACACGAAATTGTCTCCCATCCGAGAAAAGAAACAACAAGGGGTCTCACGGGCTGGGGTCTCACTGACCCCTTCAAGGGCCACCTCCTATAATCGAAAGACCTCTCCTTGGCTCTGCCTTTTAAAGCTTCCACCACCTCACAGTAGCACCGTGGCGGGACCAGTCCCTTAGCACATGAGCCTTTAGGGGACATTCCAGGTCCAGCTCAAACAGACACAGAGGAATGGCTCAGGATGGCAAGCAGTCCCTCTGGGGGAGAGTGTACCACCTATCAACCCAAGAGTAGCCTTGCTTTTCTTTTCTTTTCTTTTTTTTATTTTTTTTATGCGCCTTGAATACTTTTTCCTTTCCTCTGTGTTCACTAAACAAGAAAAAATTACTTTGTAAGGCTACTTTCTGTAGCTTTTTGTTTTCCCTTTGTATTTATCATGTTTTTAGTTTCTTCTCTGAGGAGGAATTCTCTGAATCTGTGTCTTCCAATTCAATTCGGTGCCTTTTGAGGCCACTGTGGCTATGAACAACCTTGCTGCTGTCCATGGCCGAGGGGTCCGAGGGGTCTTCTCTCGCTCCAGCACTGGGGGTCTCACAGGCCATTTCAGACCCACAACAATCTTTGTGCAGAAGCATCCCTGTCAAGGGTGGGTTATCATGGTCAGTGTCTGGGTGTCCCGGGGAAGAGCAGACTACTGTCTCCAGCTCCCCAGAGTTCTGGCCATTGTTGTGGGGGTGAGGGGGCCGGGGGTGCAGGTGTCCATTGTTGTGGTTGGCACAGAGGGTGTCAAGGCTCCTGTCCTCACTGTCATCAGACTGGGTCCTGGAACAGTTGCCAGACGCACTGTGGAGAGTGGAACCAGAGGCCTTGGGGACAGGCGAGGGCGGTTCCTCAGCCCGGCTGCTCAGGGCCTTGCCCAGGGCCTTGCCATTGAGCTTCTTGGTTTCAAAAGAGTGTTCGAGAGGGCCGCTATTGTTAGTGTCCTGAGAGGTGCCCTCTGGCACCTCTGCCCGAGGATGGCTGCCCTGCTCACGGCTGGCGCCACTGCTGGGGTTTCTGGTGGAAGGCTTTTCATTTTTATTGTGATAAAATATGAAGAGCAAAGGTGGAGAGGTGGCTCAGGGGTAAAGAACACTTGCTGTTCTTGCACAGGACCCAGGTGGTTTCCAGAACTTAGATGATCGCTTACAATTATTTGTAACTCCGGTTCCAGAAGATCTGGTCCCTTGTTCTGGCCAGGGACACCAGGCACTGGGTAGTAGGAAGGTGGACCCTGTCCTTCGGCACGAGGCAGGAGATATCAGAGCAGCTGCCAAAGAGAAGGCGTCATTTATGGCTGGGTAGATATGACTTATTGAACTCTGTAAACGTCTACTATGAATTTACATACTGGCTTGCCATGCCCGAGGCTGTGGGTTTTCCCACTGTGCTCGTTAGGGGCCTCGGGGCCTCTCCGTGTGTGCTTGTGGGGCCAGGCTAAGAACTGGGTGGGGTTGGGAGAGAAGAAGTAGATTAGGACCCCCAGGGTGGAGGCCAGTACCTTGACCATCACTGCTCCTTTTGAAAACCTGTCCTCAGTGTTGAGCTTCTGTCGCCACTGGAGGAAATACCTCTGTGGAGAACTATTGGCATTCGTCTCACTGGCCAACGAAAACTTCGGGGTTGATGAGTGGCACGTCCGTCTGCGAGACCTTTGCGAAGAACGGAACTCACTCTAAACCCAGGCTGACTCAGATGTGGAAACTCTAGTTGCTTTAGAAAATAACTATCATTTTTCTTTAATTGGGGTTGGGACACCAAGGACCTCGGATCCTTAAAAATGGGTCCTCCTTTCCTAGTCTTCGGCCCCAGGGAGTGGCTTTGTTCTTTGTAGTACATGCAGTTGATGGGCACAGGAAATCAGCTGTAAACGTGGAACTTGGTGGATGCTGTGGCCCCGCGGGAAGATAGTCAATATTTGCATTCTGGGTATGGCCTGGGAGGCAGAGCCAGCCAGCCGAGGCCCAGGAAACCTGGATTTGGCTCCTCGTGTTATTGCTGAATCACTTCTGTATCTGGGACCATTCCTTTACCCAGTGTGTGACTCAGTTTCCCCATAGGATTATAATCACCTACTGAATGGAAAACTCCCAAAGCACAAGGGGAAGCAATAATGCAGATGAATGCACTTCAGGAAAGCGATGGGTATAATCATGAAAACTGATCCTGACAGCGTTCCTTCGGGCAAAGAGCGGGGGTATCTTAAAAACATTTAGCCTGGTCCTGCATTTTTGAACCTTTGACTTCTGGTCTTTTTCTTCCCATGTATTTTACTTTCCTTCTCAAAAGAACTGGTTGAGGGTGGTAGAAAATACCACCTTAAAGTTAATTAGTCAGACTTAAAGTGACTTTTTAAAAAGGTAAATAAAAGCTGAGAAGGGAAGAAGGAAATGATATATCCACATGGGCTCCGAGACTCACGGTTCACCCCATGAAAGCCTGTCTTGGCTGTGTTCTGCGCTCAGGGCAGTGAGAATTGCAGTGTAACCAAAGAGCCTGGGCCCGAAAAACACGCCCTGTCCCACGAAGGAGCTGGCTATCAGTAGGCCCCTGGCCTACCCCTAGAACCAGTTTCTCTAGAATGAGGAAGGCTGGGGTCTATGAAAGCCAGTAAAACACATTTCAGGTGTTCTTTTGCAGGCTGCTCACTGTGTCCAGCCCCCTGCCCTCACACTGCTCTTTCGTACTGTTCTAGTTTACTCATTAGCTTTCTTGGCGGGTCTCTGGCTTTGGCACGGGGAGTCACCTCTGACTTTCCTACCACACTCGTTCCGTGGAAGAACAGAGTGAAGAGAGGCAGTACCCGGAAGCGAGCACACGGTCCCAAGGCAGCCTCCTCTTTACCCCTGCTCTCATGGCTTCCCTTCCGACCTGCCTCGCACCCCCCTGGGGAGAAAGCTGGTGATACACCAGGCATTTCATTCTGCTCACTAGTGTGAGGTATTTATGCTTCCAGGACCCTGGGGTAGACATCTCAAGAGGGCTAAAGACAAACCACTGGCTGTACCCAGCCTTGAAGGGGTCAGGTCGACCCTAGCCGGGTAAGGACTGTGCCTTTACCATGAATCCGCCTCCGAAGTCACAGTCTTTCTAAGCATGGAGGGCTTTGGTCCCACACTCTCTGGGCCACTGCTGTCAGGGCAGGTTGCCCATCCCATACCCCCTCAGCTGTCAGCCGTAACAAATTCAGGGAGCAAGAGGCTCTTGACCGTAGGAGTGGGGAAGGGCCTGGACTCCAGAGCCAGGGTCCACATCTCAGATCGGTCCTTCCAGCTGTGCACTGGGGAGGCAGGTTCACTCTTCTGTGCCTTCATTTCTTCTGGGAGTGCAGTACCAGTGCAGGTTTCTTGGGTTTTATGAGGATTCAATCAAGTAAACACACGGGAACCTTTCCAATGAGCGGGTGCGCGGGGTGGTTTATTACCATCAGTGGCGTTCACCATTCCCTCCTTAGACAGGGGTCTAACTGAGAGAGGTTGGCTGCATAGCACCTGAGTGGTGGGGCTGGGAGCCCAAGCCTGACCTAAGCGCATCCTCTTTCTGCTCTCTGAAGTGGAAGAATGCTTCTGCCTCTCTCTCATGCTCTGCCATCCCTCCCCTCTGCTGGGCCACACTGGATTCTGTGGCTTTTCAGTGCTGAAGTGGGGTAAGACTCCAGGGTCTCCCCTCTCCCCTTCAGGCCCAGGCCCAGCAGGCAGGTAGACAGTGAGCACGAGAGACATCTAGCAACGACAGCCAGCCTGAATCTCTTTCTTCCTTCTGGTTCCAGATCTGGAGATCACAGTGCCAATCCGGCACTCGCAGCTGCTGCCTGGAAAAGTGGAGTTTGGAGTGTATGAGAGCGGCCCCAGGAAGAGCGTGTTTCCCCCCAGGACGGAGCTGAGACGTGGAGACTGGAAAACAGACAGCATGTCCAGTACAGCAAGTGAGCAACAAGCCAGAGGCATCCTCAGGACTGTGCTCCAGCGGGCGCTTGCAGGCTTTGACAAACACTCGTCTGTCTGTCTGTCTGTCTGTCTGTCTGTCTGTCTATTCCAAGACAGGGTTTCTCTATGTACCTTTTAGCTGTCCTGGAACTCACTCTGTAGACCAGGCTGGCTTTGAACTCACAGAGATCCTTCTGCCTCTGCCTCCCATGTGCTGGGATTAAAGGTGTACACCATCACGGCCTGGCTTGGCAAACACTTCAGGAGTCCAAGATCTCAGTTGAGACCTGATTTGGTTTTGACAGTTGTGAAGTATGTAGACTTGTCAGCCTGTGGCACTTGCCCAATGGTGTGATATAATTCTTAGAGTACTTTCTTTTTATAGATAGCTGAACCTCGTGGTTGTCAGCAGAGGTGCGGAGACGCAGCCCAGCACTGCTCCTCATGTCCCTTACTTTCCCATCTTTCTCTCTTGCCTTATAATAATTCTTAACACTGATTGGGCATTTACCGAAAGTGAATTGTCTTCATCGATCATTTAATGACCACAAAACCTCTACAGTGTAAATTCATGACCTCTTTTTGCCGAGGAGGAAGTGTTCAGGCTTAGTGCCTTGTCCCAGGTTGTATCGAGTAGAGCTGAAGGGGGCTGGGATTTGAACTCGGTCTGGGGCCAAGCCAGAGCTCTTCGCCGCTGTTCCTGCTTCTTCCCCAGCTGTGCCAAGGGGAGGCCACGGGCATCTCTTGAGAACTGTAGACAACAATGGACTCAAATTGGAGGGGTCCAACTTCTGCACGGGTGGTTCAGCATCTAATTAGGACCCATCTTTGTTTTGGTGAGGAAGCATGAATGGGCGTCTGATTGTGACAGACAAGACCTGGTGTGCAGGCTGCAGGGCACGGGACTCGGTTTCTGTATCCTGGGCTGCATTTGCTGACACGCTGGCTTCACAAGCACCATACATTGAATATCTTGTCTGCCTTGTACTTCACTGTTATCAAAAAAAAAAAAAAAAGAAAAGGTGATGAAAGACAGAGAGAAGATTTCAGGACTCAGGTCTCTTTAGAAGTCAGGCAGAGAATCCACAAATGGATGTAGGTTAACAGACTATCCAAACCGCTTGTGATCTTTTTTTACATCCCAGCCTCCTTGAGAATTCACTGTGTGTTCTGGATCTGTTTCCCAGAAAAACCTGTCTGTCTGGAGCCCTCCACATACAAATCACATACATGCACACATACCTACAAACACCTATACATGCACACATGCACAATTTTCCTCACCCAAGAACACAGGTCAAGAATCCTCATTATATAGATTTATTTTTCCCAGAGAGGGAAATTCTTTTGCTCAAGGTTAAACAGCCAGGTAACAGTAGAATCCAGCTTGTCTCTCTTACCTAATAATCCTCACACCTTGACCTGTGGAAACACATCCAAAGCCTGTCATGTGACTGCATGGGAATGTAGACTGGACAAGAAGACAATTTCCCCCCATGTGATGGGGGCGGTAATGTATGTCTAAAGACTGCCTGTGCCAAAGGCAGCTTGAGACTCCCACCAATTCTGATATTAGAAGCAGGAGAGCATTCCCAGGGATCACAGGCTGCAGGAGAAACTAGAGGCACAGGAGAGAGGAGAGATGTGCTAGAACCTTCTCTTGTGGGGGCTCTGATCTCCATGGCAAAGGGAGCCATAGTTGTGAAATCTTAAAGACAAATATGAAATGCTAGGTTTTTTTTGTGTGCTTGTTTGGTTTGTTTTGGTTTTTTTGTTTTGGTGTGATGTGCTGTGATTGGAAAGTTGTTCTCTGTGTGTTTCACTTTGGGATAGCCTGCGGTGAGGACAGGGTGGACCAAGTGAGTTGTTGCCCAGAAGTGGCTAGCTTGTGGGGCTAGGAAGTGCTAGTTAATGCCAGACCAAGGGCATACACTCTCCTTTGTGGCTACGGATCAGGGCTGGTTCTTGGGGGTAGTTTCTGCTGTGTAACAACCCTGACAAACTTAGCTGCTTGAAAGATAACCATTTATTTGCGCCCAATCCCACAGCCTGGGCACAACTCCAGAAGGAATGGCTTGTGCCTTCTGTTAGTAAATTGCAAAAACTCTGGGCTTGGCGTCCCAGGTTTCAGCACCAAAATGTTAGTAAATTGCATGTTTTGCAACTCTGTGGGTTTGGTGTCCTGGGTTGTGGCACCAAAATGTTAGTAAATTGGTGGCTGAAACTGCAAGGAGACAGTTCAGCCCTAGAGGGTGAGGTATCCTGGATACCTTGAGCTACTCAGAACAAGAGTTCTGCCCTGAAGGTGTCCTGGACACCTGGAGCTGTTTAGCACAACTCTGATGGCTGGGACTGCATAGAAACAGCCCAGCCCTGGAAAGGAAGGTTTTCTGACTTCTTGGGAGAGTCAGGCCTGGAACTGCTTCAGCAAGGAAGGGTATCCTGACTCTTCGGGAAAGTCAGGGAATCCTGACACTTCAGGAAAGTCAGGATATACCTGGTGTGATGGGGGATGTTCTCCCCACAGGACACAGCAATCCTGCTCCTCTTCTGGAGAGCCGTAATCTCTGGCTCAGTGATACCAGCTCTTTCTTGCTCAGTCTACTATGGGACATCTTAGCAAGGTTCTTCTGTTCAGCTCCCCCTTGCTCAGTCCACTATGGGATGTCTTAGCAAGGTTCTTCTGTTCAGCTCCCCCCTTGCTCAGTCCACTATGGGATGTCTTAGCAAGTTTCTTCTGTTCAGCTCCCTCTTGCTCAGTCCACTATGGGATGTCCCAGCAAGGTTCTTCCGTGCACCAGTGAATGAAGGTCTTCACCCAAAACTCTTTTGAGAAAGAGGTTTATTTGGGAAGGAGGAGTCCAGGAGAGTGGCTGCCTCTACCAGGGTGGAGAGAACAGCTCCCTTTTTAACTGACTAGGGAGGGCGGTTTTTTACAGGAAGTCTAGTGGGTGGAGTCAACTCCAGGCCCAGGGTTCTACTATCCTGCTCTGTGATTGGTTGGTTGGCTTCACAAGTCAGTTGGGCAGGGGCAGAGATGGCTCTGATCTGAACTAAACTGTTTCTCTCACTGGCCTTATCTGAGCCATCCTTCCCTAGTTCTGGGCTCCAGGGTCAGGTGGGTTTCTTTAGCCAGCCCCTTCCCCTACACCTTCTCCACGTTCAGTGAGCAAGGACTGAACCAGATGACTGTAATCAGCTGGGGCATGCAGAGTGGCCTCTTATTCTCCAAGGCCTCACTCCACACAGCCTTTAACTCAGCAGCCTGAACTTCTTACAAAGCAAGGGAATCTGGGAAAAGAGGACAAGCCCATTGTGCAAGGGCCTGCCAAGCTCTGGCTTTTGTCACATGTGCTAATGTTCTATTGGCTAAAGCAGGTTGGGTGGCTGAGTCTGGAGGGCACACAAAGGCATGGGCACTGATGGGGGTGATGTTCACTGTGTGGGGGGTGTCACTAAAGATTAGTGTACTGCCTTAAAATTAAAGACAACGACGATGAGATGCCAGCTTCTATCAGATGGTTGCCCTTTGCCAGCCCCATGATAAGCATATCCCTGGGTGACCTAGTTCATCCAGGACAGTAAAGCTTGTAGTTTCTAGATAACCGTTAGGGGCTAGAAAACATGCCTGGAGTCTTCTGGCAACTGAGCAGAGGATCTGGGAGTCATATCCAGATTTGACTGTGCTGTTACCCAGGGGAAGCACCGTCTTCCAAATAGAGCGAGGGAGGCAGGGAGGGGGGGTGGGGAAGCCAGACTCGGAGCCACCAGCTCCGAGGTGCCCTTTACCCAGGAGTCACACCCTGTGAGCACCACTGTTTTTATTAAGACACAGCTGTCATCTCTTGGGATCCACAGAAAGGCAATTGCAGGTTAAACCTGGTTATAACTAAGTAATTAAGACCCAGTAATTAGTGATATGTTTAAGAGAACAAAAGCTTGATTGTGGAACACTGTTGACTTTCTTGTAGATTATCTGGCCCAAGGGTTATATGGCCATTCCCCCCCCCCTCTTATATACTCACCGGAGACAGAAAGATGAAAAGAACCAGATCCTGTCTGTTGAGGCTTGTAATGGAGGAAAGTACAAAAATAGCATGAGTTAGATGCTAGTCTGAGCCTTCGTCCCAGAGATGCGACACTGTCTCCCTCCCCCTGCCACAAGAGCAGAGTATAGGGCCAAGACCAGAGGGTGCTACCAATTGGGTAGCCTAGGGAACTACAGGTCAGTCATGAGCCCAGAGGGGAGATACTATCAGGGAGGCTGAGGTTTAGAGGCTAACTTTGTGGTTATAGGTTTAGAAATGCCAAGGGAAGGGATAGTGGGAGCTGATGAGTGTGAATTTCCAGCCATGGAACCAGTGCCTATGACGACTTTTACTTCTTGCTGATGGAGAATCTTCAGAACACTGTGGGGTTCACTGTGGAGACTGTGGGAGGTAATAAATAGATGACACCTGAAAGCTCGGGCACAGGGCATGGGGACCCAGAAGCTCAGGCAGGGGGCATGGGGACCCGGAAGCTCAGGGATTGTTTCTAGTTGGGGAATCTGGAGAGTTTTGATAGCATTTGTTCCAGGCATGGGTTCTGAGGAGGTCTGAACCTTGGGGGCAGCAGTTGGCTAGAGGAGGGGAAGAAAGGACATTTTGGTGGGTGAGCAGGGTTATGAGTGTAAATTGAATAGAAAGAGGCTGGGTCACGTGTTCCTAAAGAACAAACCAAATCCCCTGGGCTAGAGAAATATTTTGACAATTTTAAAAATCTGCACGGAGGGCTGGAGAGATGGATCAGTGATGTTGAGCACTTGATGGTTCAATTCCAAGCACCTACATGGCAGTTCCTAGTCATCTGTAGCTCCAGTTCCAGGGGACCCGATCCCCTCTTCTGACCTTGAGAGCACCAGGCACACATGTGGTATATACATATAAAGCAGACAAAACACTCACACATAAAATAAAATGAAAAAATCTAATGAAATGTTTTAAAATCTGGGGCTGGAAAAATGACTCTTCAGTTGATAGCACTTGCTACTTCTGGAGAGGACCCAGGTTCAGTTCATATTACCCATATGACAGTTCACAGCCATCTATAACTTAATTTTCAGGGGCTCTGACACCATCTTCTAGCCTTTGTGGACAACAGGCATGCACATAGTGCACAGACATACAAGCAGACAAACATACTCAAAAAATAAAAATAAATATTTTTTTAAAAATTTGCCTCTAATAACTCACACTTGTAAGCTCAGCGTTTGGGAAACAGAAACAGGAGGATGGCCACAAGTTCAAGGCCAGCCTTGTCTACATACCTTGCAAGCTCCATGCCAGCCACGGCTAGGCAATGAGACTCTACCTCAAAACACAAACTTAAATCTTAAAACTCATCTTCTTAGTTCTACCTGATTTTACACTGACTATCACACTGAATAACACACATTTCCAGAGAGTTCTATGGGCTAGTGCTATTTTAATAATATAGGTAATAAATTCCTAACTGAAAAGGTTTCCACACAGAATTCCTACTACCAGCGTAAATTATACTTTTGAATTTGCACTGTGCATTTCTGTTTTTGTAGTTCTGGGGATTGGACCCAGGACCTTGTGCATGCTAGCAAAAGCTTTACCGCTGAGCCACACCCACAGCCATGCCTTTTGTCTGGTGTTGGCATGTAATCTCTTATTCGAAGGTGCATCTGTGTCCTACATACACTTAATTCTTAATTAAGCACCAAGACCATGGTAACAAAACCAGCTTGCAGCTTTAGAGCAACTGAGACCCTGAGTACCGCTGCTTCTGTGTCTGTCAGATCAAAGCTCTAATATCAAATAGGATTTTCAAAGGGATTAAACGGCAATCATGCTCTGGAAAGCACTCCGCGTGCGGTAAGTCCTGGGTAAATGGTAGCTATTAAACCCAAAGTGGTCATCAGAAAGCAAACCGTTCTGTGTGATGCTGACAGAAAAACTGAACTCTAATGAAACGGCTTAAGGTGGTTACACTTTGCAGCCTCTTGTCCTCGTGGTTTGTGTACTGTTTCTGTCGCTATAAATAACTTAGGGCTGCAGCTCCACATCTCGTTTTCTCCTGAGAGAATCCACAGCCCCACTGATGTTGTTTCTGCCCTTTAGGTAGCACGAGCAACCGATCGAGCACACGGAGCCTCCTCAGCGTGAGCAGTGGGATGGAGGGTGACAATGAGGTGAGAGTCCGGACTTCCACTCTGTCTGTCTGCTCTTGGGGGTCATTTGATCACAAGAGAGAGGAATCCATGGGGGAAGGAAGCCACACACCAAAGGTCACACGTTGCAGGATGCCGTTCATATGAAATAATGTAGACTGGGAAAATCCAGAGGACAGAGTGAGGGTTGGTGGCCGGCAGGGCTGGAGGGCGGAGGGAATGGGAAGAGCTGCTGAATGAGTTTGGGGTTTTCCTTGCAGGTGGGGATAATGTTTTAAGACTAGATAGAGGTGGTGGCTACATAAAATTATGAATGTGCCAAAGCCATTTTACTTTGTAATGGTTGACCTTTGGCTATATGGATTTTGCCTCAGTATAAAGGAAGGAAAAGGAGGAAGGGGGGAGCATGGGTAGAGATAGATAGGTCTACCCAGACTACTGAAATCAGAAGTGGGTGTCTGCAGGAAGGAGCTGTGGGAGAGTTGGGGGTCCCAGGGGCAGTCAGTATCCTGCTGGGCCTAGATCAGGAGCCTGTCGTGCTATATGGAGCCATGGGACTGTCCTGTACATCCAGGGTATTTGGCCTCCGATTTTGTCTCCGATTTCATCCCTCTCTGTACACTGACCTTTCCTGCATTTCTGCATGGATGGTGGCATGGTCTCCAGACAGCCAGGAGTCTCCTGAGCTGAGAGGTTCAGGGGCCCTAGAGGAAGGCCACATTGCAAATTGACCCACTGGTGTCAGTGTCTGTCTTGACCTGCTGACCAGTGGTTGTTTTGAGCCCAAGGGGTCACGTGAGTCACCACTAACCCTGAAGACTCGGGAGAATGGGTCTTAGGGAAGGCGCTCCTGTGAACTTGCAGACAGCAGACCACACTTGGAGAAGCAAGGATTTTGAGTTTAGGCAATTTGTGACAACCTGGGTGAAGCTATGTTCCTAGACTACACCAGAAGGATGCAGAAAACTACCGTTGGCACTGGGTCGGCTCCCGGGTTGGGACCAGCCTGACGATGGTGAGGGCTATCCCTCGGTGTCCAGCTGTGGATGTTCATGTGTTTTCTGTGACAGCCACCTTTGTTTCTCATCTTGCACGCTATAGGATAATGAAGTCCCTGAAATTACTCGAAGTCGTAGCCCAGGTCCTACCCAAGTGGACGGAGCACCAGTTGTGACGGGAACACCGGTTGTGACCCTTGAGAGGCCCCCCAGGGTGCCTCCTCGAGCTGCTTCACAGAGGTAACACTGAAGTAGATGTGAACTTTTCTTCTCACTCTCTTAACTGTAAAGGTGAAGAGGATTTAGGACCGTCAAGCCAAAGAATGAGGACAGAGTTAATGGAAACACCCGTAGCTGACATACTTCACCGTGGTCTCCAGTAAAAAGTGATACTTTATTCTGTTGCAAATATCAATACATCATAACTTTTTGTTTGCTTCTTTTGCCATTGATTTTAAAGCAGGATTTATTTTACTTATTTATTTATTTATTTATTTATTTATTTATTTATTTATTTATTTATGTATGTATTTATTTATTTTTTGAGACATGGTTTCT